AAACCTCAATTTTGGTTATAAATCTCTTCTGACAGCTCATTTTACCAAAAGCTTTTGGTTGTTGTAGTAAACTCTGGCCTAGAAAGCCCTTTACACCAGTTTTCTTTGTTCTCCCAGCCTTCCAGACCAAAGGGACATCCTTTATCAAAGCACAGATGTGGTGAGGATTTAACCTAATTTGCTTGCATTTACTCAGGAGCAGATCTCATTCCCAATTTAATTAAGTTTTCTCATATTTTTGAGCATATCTTAAAGGTGCATACCAAGCTGATATGTGACCCAGGGGGAACAAAAGTAAATTTGCTTGTACCAAAAGGGTGGCAGCTTTAAAAAAAATCAGAGCCAATTTTAAATGCAGGTTGAAACATAGCTCTTGAGAGCAAACAGTGTCATCTGTTGGGAAGAGAGAACGGGTCGCAGGTGTGTACCCTAAATGGCAGGCTTAAAAATCCTATTGCAGGTGTAAAAGTATCAGTGGGTTGCTCTGATTTCTACCTTTGTGTCCTTTCCATGGGAAATGTGGCAGGGCTTTGTGCTTCCTGATTGCAGCCCAGTACCTGGGAAAGAGACAGTTGTCCCCCACCCCCATTCTTGTTCCCAGGCCTGGTGCAAAGGGACTGTGTGGTCTGTGTGTGGGGTGTAGCACAGCATTCGCCTTTATAGTTCTGTGGCAGTTGTATTACATACCCTTAACCTCCCTGTTATAACCTCTGTTGTATCCACCCTTCTCTCTCCTCGTTGTAACCCTGTTGCAGCCATATCACATTCTCTTTTTTATCCCTGTTCCATCCCCATGGCAACCCCATTGTACAACTTCTGTAGCCTCATTGCATCCTCCTTGTTTCCCTGCTGTGTCTCCTTTGCATACCCCCTTACCTCCCCATTGTATCCCTGTTGCAGCTGCATTACACACCCCGCTGAACCCCCTTGGACTCCTGTCACATCTCCTCTTGCACCCTTTTGTCCCCCCTCCCAGCCCTTGCACTTCCCCTTGTGCTGCCTCTTGAACTGCTGCACTGCATCCCCCTTGCAGCCATGTTGCATTGCCCCCTCACCCCCAATTGGAGTGATATTGCATCCCCTTAAGCACCCCCACTGTGTCCCTGTACTGCTGCCTTGCATTCCTCTTGCACCCCTGTTTTATCTCCCCCATACCCATGCTGCAGCTTCATTGGAGCCCACTTGCACCCCTGTAGCATCCCCCTTGCACGCCCCTACTGCTGTGCCACTGTGTCCACCTTGCAACCCCATGGAAACCCCATTATGTCCCACAGTTATACCCCTGTCACAACCCCCTTGTACCCCTGCTGCAACCTGATTGCATCCCTCCCTTGCACCCCCACTGAAGTCCCACTACACCCCTCTGTTGTCGCTCCACCGTATCCCCTCCCACTGCAGCCCCCCTTCCACCCTTGTAACCCCACCTTGTACCTTCATGGAAGCCCCGTTATGTCCCCCCTTTGTGTCCCTGTTCCAGCTCCATTGCATCCCCCTTGCACCTCCATTGAAGTACCACTACATCACCCCCTCCACTTTAGCCACCGGGCAGGCCATTTGCACCCCCGTTATACCCCCCTTCTGACCCCACTGCACCCTCCTTTCCACCCCTATTGTACCCCCGTTGTGTGTCCCCCCCCGGCCCCACTGCAGACCTATCGCATCCCCCCGTTGTACCCCCTCTCTCACCCCCCTCGCACCC